AACGAGACTGGAATTACTTACGTAAGTCGACAAAAGGGCACTTGGTTCTCTAAAGCTTTCCCATTTTTTGGAATTAGTTTCAATACAACCTCTAAACGGGCATCCTCCCCCAAATAAGCGCCCACCCCATTGGCCATAATTTCAAATGAGCGCCCTCCTCGATTAAGCGTCCCTTCCTCTCTAACTTGCTTAAATAGCAGGAATACAAGGAAAAATGTCTCTATTTCCACTTTACTTATAAATTTATAAGCTTCAACTACAGCGGTCTCAGTACAGATGAATAATAAGTGCCCCCCCTTCCCCCCAAAATTAAGCGCCTTCTTTCCAGTTGTTCAACTTAGTGCTCCAGAGTTCGTTTGAAAAAACGTAGCACGTCAGGGTTGTGTTCAGTCGAGCACGCATGGCGTAAAAATGGCATAAATACCTGGAAATATAATTTTATTCTCTGAATGACTTTTTTGGCCACAGCAGACTGATGCATGTGGTTGCGTCAGAATGACAGCATTAATTTCTCTGTTCGCTCTTGTATCTAAAAAGCTAGTGCTACTCAAACTTTGCTTTGACTCGCTTAATTACGAATGCTTACTATTAAATTCTTAAAGGTTTCGCAACAGATCTCATGCGCATGAGTACGAATTTATTGCATGTGTTTGGGTGTCTTTTCTAAAACAGTTCGTTTCAGATTATTCTTTTATTTGTTTCCGTCTATTACGACAAAACAAATGTTTCATTTGTTTTGATTTGTTTTAGTTTTACAGCATAACAAGGAAGTAACTTTTTTCTCTACTTCCAAGATATTGGATGTTGGTTTACCCATTTCCCACAAATTTGGATGGCACGAAAAGATTTGAAAATATCACCTGTTAGGTAACACACTAAACACCAGGAACGGTTATAATTTGTCCGGCAATGGTGTCCCATGATGACGATGCACAAAGCAAAAAGCTTAGTCAATCAAATTATATTTTGAACCTGCCTGATCATTGTCATCCTTCAGATTTTTAGAATTTCTTTCTTCATTGATTTTTTTTTTATTTCTTGCTTTTTCCTTAAAAAAGTAGAAAAGTGTTGACAATTAAAATGAATGGTAAAACAGAACGTTTTACCGTTCATTTTTACCGTTTATTTTTATTGTCAAAAGCTTTACGAAATCACTATTGATAAAAGCGAAACTTGAAAGGAAAAAAATGAAAACTTCTTTCACCTTGTATTGGTACTCCTGGTTATGCTCTTCGTTCTCCGAAAATATATTCATGCCGTTGTTTCAGCTTGCATGGCATGAAAAGAAATCATCTGATAAAGTCAAGGGATAGAAAGCCCTAACGTTTTAAATAAATGAAATACTTTCAGCATGAGTCAAAGTTTCGAATGACCAGCTCTTTTCCAATGTTTAAAGCTAATATTTTTAATATACACGCCTCACTGCTGCTTTTCTTTTAAAATCTTCGAAGCTGGTTTTGTTTTTTGTACAGATTTGGGGTTGTTTTGAAATGCCATTATAGAGGTATATTTCTTGTGAACGCTTAACAAGACCAGGCTGATAAACAAAACAATTCTAAGAAATTGGTAGGATCATCACTAGGATCACCATCAGCGGTGGATTCGTCAGAACATTGCCATATTCTTTGCCTTTTTCCTACAACCAAGCGACGCTCTGTCCAATCTTGGCTACATTTACGGAGATATCACGGAAATCCAGTATGACTACCCCTATATGTTCTTCCTCAGAAACAATCCACAGCTAGAAGTTAAAATTTGAGATCTCACTCAACTCCTTAAGGGAACATGAAACATTTCCACATTTATTCATTGAAATACTCCATTTTAAATGATGCCAAAAAAATAAATGAATACACATGCATTTCTATACCTTATATGAATGTGACCTATTTTGTTTGCTTTCGGATCCTGTTTCCGAAAACAGAAATGGACTCAACGCTTTCCACGAAATCGACTTCATTCTTAATTGTGCAATAATCAATTTACAAGTCTGACTGACCCCGTGTTGACATGATGCTAGGGTAAGATACGGAAAGACTTCTTTTAACAACATAACTTGTAATTAATAACAACAACCCACAACTAGATCAATACATGTGTTCTTCTTGAACGTTCTCTTTCATTCGCTTACGAATCGTTTAGTTTCAAGGTTGAGTAGCCTAATGTCTTTGTCTTTGACATAAAAAAACCCGAAATCATTCGACAAAGTCGCGTAGTTTCTTCTCGTTCAGAATATAACCCCTCCCCCCATACTGGAGCTCAAATTAACACTTTAACTGTGATTATATTGGATTTTTTCTGAGAAAATACCTTTTACATAAGCAAACGGTCGTTTGGTAGTTTTTCTGAAAAGCTGTTGAAGTGATCATGCGCGACTATAGCTACTCGTGTTGGATTGTGGAAGACCTTGTAATGTCATTTAACTTCTCCCCAGATTTGCCCATCCCCAATTCAATTTGCCTACACAGCTTTTCTTAAAAAAGCAGCCCGTGGTAAAAAATAATTAAAAAATGAAACAAAAGAAATGCTAAATGAAAAGACGTCACTATGTTTACTGAGAAAACCAACGCGAGTACTTATGGGAATAATGTGTTTCCATTGGAAACAAATGATTTATCTCTCTTTTTATCGAGAAATAAATCTGGGAAAAATTTGCCGAGAATAAGGTTGAGTTAGAGGGGTTCCATTCGACAACAACAACCGAAATATTTATTTCCAAATTCTTACTCGTTGGGTGAAAATAAAAGTTCTAAATTACATCATCTCGCTTGCAAGAAATTACATTGTGAGAATATCCTTTAAGAGATCGACTGATGCGACCAAGTTTCATTTTCGTTTAACGGTGTCAACGAATATTTTGAACTCGAAAAACCCGCCTGTTACTCCTATGTTAATGCTAAATATAAAAATTTAAAAATAACCCCCTGTGAAATAATTTCTCGGAATTCTACGCAGGAAGGTTCACTGCTCATGCACACACCTTACATAATATTATATATGCCACGCACTTCGCTCGCCGACTCACACCAATACTTCAAAATAACATCTGGGAGACTGATCTGTCTCAGTAAAATACTACCTTATGTAAAAAAAATTGTGTGATCGGAAGAAATTACTTCTCCTTGAAATGAGCGCACAGGCTTCGATAGTTATGCAAGCCACGTAGATGATGTTTCAAGCTAATGTAGACTGAATTGATTTCGTAGTCTGTATTCGGTGGTAATTTGTTGTTACGTAGTTACTGCTACGATAGTGGCATGGAGTTGGGCCAAAGGATGAATTTTACCAATGCTGTTCTTATTTTTCTCCTTTATACTAATTGAAATAAAAAAAATCGACATAGAGACGCTTTCGCTTTGTCCTTTGATGCTGTTGTTGGGAATTAATGTGACGTTACAATACTTCAACTTAAGCCAATTCCAGTTTCGATTTCTTCGATATTTAGACCTTGTTTGCTAATTTGGGTTAGTTCTTAAGGGAAGTGAAGTGTTGGATTAGTTAGCGCACTAATCAATGAGCCAACAAATTGTAATCCACTAATTTAACTTAATGATGCTAAGTTCGATTGGTAACTATACAGTCAGTGAGGGTTATGTTCATCTCTGTGCGCGTGATGTAGTACTGAGGCAAAGGCCAACTAAACCTGTTAGGGCTACAGTTTTCCCTTTCTTCAAAATCAGGTTACAATTAATTTAAATTGATAGGGTAGACTTATCGCGAAAATGTTAGAGAGAAAAATGTCATCAAGAGACTTCGAAATTTATGGTTGATGTGCCAAGTTCTTATAGGCTAAATTGAGTTCGTAGCCTTTAAGTTGGGTAAGGAACTTTGCTGAGTGATGGCTTCGACCAAGACTAAGGAGATAAGCGTTACAATTTTAAGTCGACAAAAGGACACTTCCCCTCTTTCACTCGATCCCATTGTCTGGAATTAATCTTTCAATGCAACGTTTCAATATAAAGTATTTCCTCGAATAAGCGCCCATTCTCTAAAAAGGCATCCTCCCCCGAGTAAGCGCCGCCCCCCACCCCCCCCCCCCCCCCATTGGCCATAATTTCAAATCAGCGTCCTTCTCGAATAAGCACCCCGTCCTCTCTAACTTGCTTAAGTAGCAGGGATGCATTAAAATCCTGTTTCCATTTTCACTTTATACGTAAATTTTTTAAGCTTCAGCTACAGCGATATCAGTACAGATGGATAATAAGCAGCTCAATAAATTAATCGCCCTCCTTCTAATAAGCTGTATCCCAGCAGTTTAACTTAGTGGTCCAGAGTTCGTTTGAAAACGCGTGGCAAGTTTGGGTTGTGTTCAGTCGAGCACGCTTGGGGCATAAATGGCATAAATACCTGAAAATATAGTTTTATTCTCGCTATGAATTTATTGGCCATAGCAGACTGATGGTTGTGGTTGTGTCAGAATGACAGAATTCATTTTTCTGTAATTCGCTCTAATATCTAAAAAGCTAGTGCTACTCAAACTTTGCTTTGACTCGTTTGATTACGAATGCTTATTAACAAATTCTAGGAATCTCAATGGTTTTTCAACAGATCCCATGCGCTTTGCATGGGTACGCATTTATTGTATATGTTTGGGTGTCTTTTCTAACACAGTTCTGTTAAGCTTTTTCTTTAATTTATTTTTGCCTATTATGACATAGCGAAAGTTCCATTTGGATTTTTATAACATAACAACGGATCTATGTTTTTCTCTACTCCCAAGATATTGGATGGTGGTTTACCCATTTCCTAGAAATTTGGATGACGCGAACACATTTGAAAAATACCACCTGTTAAATAAAACTCTAAACACCAAGAACGGTTGTGATTTGTCCGGCAATGGTATCCCATGACGACACATGCGCAGAGAGAATCTTTCATGAAAGAGAAAACGGATTGTGTTGACAGCAGAATAACCTTCCTTCGAATAACCTTCGAATAACCGTCCCTTTTTGCCAGTTAATATATATAACAAGATCCACGACAGTTGCAGTTCGACTATCATGGAGTCAGGTAGGACTGATGATGAATTCCCGCAGTTCCTTCCAAGTGATCTCAACATAGGAGCTATAGCAACTGTTATGAGAGGACAGCTAGTCGGTGAGAGAAACACACCAAAAGCCATAACAATCCGCGAGCATGGCGAAAAGATCGATAGCCTTGAGAAGGAGATCAAAAAGAAGGATGATGAAATCGTTGCCCTTCAGAAAGCTCTACAGACTCTTCAGGAGCAAAATGACGAGCTTAAAAGCGCGATTGACACAAAAGACGAAGAGATTGGTACCCTAAAATCGAGAATCGACGAGCTGGAGGACGAGAAGACGGAGTTGCAAAGGGAGTTAGGATCGGTGAAAACCGATCTCGGCCTTGTGCAAAAGGAAGTTGATAAGTTGAGAAAGGCGAAGTCAAGCCAGGAGCAAACTAATTTGAAATTGAAGCAAGATCTCGAAGGGTTCCGGAGAACCTTGGAAACAGTGAAGGAAGATCGGGAGAAGAAAAGAAAGGAGAGCGAAGAACTTAAGAAGGAACTGAGGAACATCAAAGAATCGCAACTCAAAGGACTTCTTCCTTTAATGAGTGGTGCCAGAGCGCTTCCAAATAAGCCCCTGCCAGCAATACCGAAAACCAGCGGAGAAGCATTGCTACACTTAGGCGAAATGTGTCGTCAAATACAAACCAAGCTTTATCGGTTTGTATTTCCCAGAAGTGTTAAAGATGTCAATTACAAAGTTGATGCCATTCACCGCCATTTAAGCAAGTTCTCAAACCCCAATGCTCAGAGGAAATGGGAGTCGATTCAGGAGAGGTTTCACTGGGATGAGACTCACGAAGAGGCAATCACCTTACTACAAGAGACAAGAAACATCGAAGCCCATCCTGAGATCTCCAAGGATTCGCTTCAACGTGCCATAAGCATAACCGCTCAGTCAAACAACTTGGAAGACAACTGGCTGTCAACGAAGCTCTTACACGAACTGCTTAAAATCTGGGAGACTGATCTGTCCCAGTAAAACATTACTTTACGTAAAAGAATTGTGTGATCGGAAGAAATTACGTCTCCTTGAGATGAGCACACAGGCCTCGATAGTTATGCAAGTCATGTAGGTGATTTTCCAAGCTAATGTAAACTGAATTGATTTCGTAGATTGTATTAGGTGAGAATTCGTCGTTTCATGGTTAAGTCTACGATAATGGAGCTGAGCATCAGGATGACTATTATCAATACTTTTCTTATTTTTCTCCTTTATACTTAATGAAGTTAAAATCACAAAGGTCTGTCGACACAAGGACGCTTTCGCTTTGTACTTCGATGCTATTGTTTGGAATAAATGTTTCGTTGCAAAACTTCAACTTAGGCCAATTCCTGTTTCGATTTCTTAGAAATTTAGACTTTGTCTGCTAATTTGGGTCAGTTCTTAAGGAAAGTGAAGTGTTGGATTAGCTAGCACACTGATCAATGGGCCAACAAACTGCATTCCACTAATTCAACTTAATAGTGCTAAGTTTGATTGATAACTATACAGTCAGTTAAGATTACGTTCATCTTAACACGCGTGATGTAGTACTGAAACAAAGGCGAACTAAACCTCTTTAGTTTATCATTTTCATTTTCTTCAAAATTAGGTTTCAATTGATGTAAATTCTTAGGGCAGACTTATCGCGAAAAATTAACAGAGTGTAAACTACACACGCATGTTTATATTCTCTGTGCGAGGGATTCTCTGGAAACTAATAAATGGAGACGTATTGAAACGAAATTGGATTCACTTTTCTGTCGATTTGTTATGGTGTCTAAAAACTATTATTACTCAGACTCTGTTTTGAAATGGTCGATAAAGAAAGCCAATCGTTAGATTGGAATCGTTAGATCCCTTACCCCGTTATATGTATTTAGTTAAGTTTTTTATGGGTTCTTTTATGAGAATTTTTTCTTGGACAGTGAACATGTGAAAATCATATATGTAGACGATGGATAATTTATCCGCGGTTCAAATATATGATTCTCATGTATTCATAATCATTTATTCATCGCAATTTTTGAAATATATGGCCAATTATGGCCATTTTATGGGGTTATTGTTAATTCATGATCAACCAATGCACTCAGATTAAAACTATTTTTACCAAGGAAAACTATAGGTACCATGAAGGAATCGCGAATGATGCTTAACCCTCTAGGATTCTGATAGAAAGAACGAAAAATTCTTTAAGGTATCTTCGAAAAAATTATTAATTCGGTACTAGTTTATGAAACCTCTAACCCTGAAAAGAAAAGCGAGCTGGTGAGTCACTAACTATAAACTATTAATAACTTATCCGTTATAATCGAAAACACAGTTATTGCTAAGTGATCACAAACACAACTTGTTAAACATATCATATTTTTCTACATGATATCAAGGCCGAGGGTTGTGTTTTTCGAAAGCAAAGGAAAATTGTATTTATGCGTTATTGACCAGGCTTATTCGGTCAAGATGCCTGGCGTTCTTATGGACCGAGACGAAGTCGAGAGGAAATCTGTTCTGGAAGGCGATTAACAGGATGATGCTGTCTCAAGAACTGAGGGCTTTGTGAACTTGACATGAGAAGGAAGATACCACCAGGTATTCTGAACGTTATTCTACAATTAAGAGCAGAGCTGCTGCAACGAAGGTGCGTTTAGAAAGTCCTTTAATCTGAAAGCAGCTGAGACTGAAATCATTAACTTTATTGTCAGTTTTCCATGGGACTGCCATCAATTGGTTGGACAGTATCCATCTCCTGCGATTGCTGTGCGAAATGAGACAAACAGACATGGAAACAAATGTGAACAGTTGTCTGACTAAATGAGTTGTTTCATCCAGAGTTTATCGAGTCTAAGTGTATCGTCTGAGTGTATCGTTTCAAGTAAGCATTTATCTAGTGTCGTCATTATTCTATCAGCTGTGCCAGAGAGTTTCTTGAGCATCTCTCAGAAACGTGGTGCAATTATTGCGTCATCCACAACGGAGTTTGGCGCTACTAAATGAAAGTTAGCATGAAGCATATCTTTGGCCGACAAAAGAGTTTCGCTCGAAATGATGTCTTTACAACAGGTAAGAAAAAGGAGCAAGGGAAAGAATTCTGGCCCCTCCATTATATTTGTTTTGGTTCGTTCGCTTTTAAAGCGAAAGGACAATGAATTGTGCTGTCACAGAGACTCTTTATAGACTTATCTGTGGCGAAGATTAGACAAGAAACGGGAAGTAAACTTAGCGTCACGAATTTATCTCGCAGCCCCTCTATGAAAGCTACAACCACAACTATGAAAGAAGAGCACCGATACGTCAGAGGTGAGGTTTCTGTGATTGGCTATAAAAAGATACCTTAGCTCCATGTATTACTTTGAACTCTATCTCCATCGAAGAAGCAGATATCTTTAGTAATCAAACCTTTGCGCTGGTTGTACGGCAACTTTGATGGGCATTTCTTTACAATTCCGTAGCAAATACAGACAAACTAATGATAACCCCTCCTCGTCTAAACTATACTTCTTCGTTTCATCCGATGTATCGTTGGTGCGAATGTTTTTAAAAAGCAACAGACTATTGCTGTCTGGCGTGGTGCGATTGGACAATATTAAAGATTGCTGACGGATAGTCTTGTAGCTTCTCTGTAAAACGTTTGTGACGAAGTTTTGTATTTATTTCGTGATGTATCTCATATAAACCTCTCCCTCTTGTGCAGTCACGTTGAAATGACTTTCCTTTTCTATCTTTGCCTCTTGAACTGGAATTAACTTTTCGTGGTACAAAATTTACTTTGATTAATCTTCTTGCTATTTTTTTCCCGTTCAGGAACAATAACATAACTTGGCAAGTCATGGTGGATATTAAGAAAATTCGACAGCATGTGCTTCAAATGGTATGAAACCAAAATACACATATGGTAGATTAAAATTAACTAGATTAACACCTCACAGACTCGTGTCCAACAGTCATGCTGAAAGGGAGGCGTTAACGATTTTTATGGAGGCTTTATCGCCAACACGAAGCCTCAAACAAAGATTTATCGTGATGACACTAATGAGATACATGCGATAATAATAACATGAAAAGCATAAGAGCATGTATGATACCACTGATAGGAACATGTCAACAACGGAGTGGCGCATGGTTTTCTAGGGAGAATATTCCTACCCTTACTTCTCTTTTATTTTGCAGGCATGGTTGACTGAGACAAATGCCATACCACAAAGTCTCTCTCAGGTACAGGCAAGTTATGCCCTTATCAAATTTAAAATCAGTGAAGTGTGCTTCCACATGATTATGCCTCATCATTCAGTAAAGCATTAACGCTAGTGCGCTTGATGTTATTGGACAACTCTGTCACCTAACCAAGGGGTTTTAGGCTTTATAAAACTGCAAAGATTGCCGACACTATTTTCAAAATACACCTCATTTGAAACTACGACATGCCGTCAGAATAAGGAGATTCATTGATTCAATTTTTGCAGTTGTAAAGATAATTCAAAAAAGTTTGCATTTTACCAGATTAATATTACAAAGATATTATCTTGCTTTATTTCATTATGTGAATGGTCCCAAAAGCTCATGCCAATTTTTCAGACAATCAGATTCCCAAATACAATTGAAATTCATCAGAAACTGAGCATATGACATTTTAAAATTACTCTGTAGAAGTTCCGCGACTACAAAAAGTAAGCGTGTTAATTATTTTTCAAATTCTTCCTTTAACAGGATGGTGCAGTCGAGTATACATTGAGCCCAAGGTCTGGGTAAGTTATTTCTGCAACTTATTCAAGTTGTACGACAAAATAGAACACCAGAAAGACGAATCCGTATATGGACTGGAAGAAGGCACAAATACACCTTAAAAACTACAAATAACATTTGTTAGTTCAAAAATTACTTTCCAACAATTAACCTTCTTGCAATTTTTTTCTTAATTTCAGGAGCAATAACATAATTTTGCAAGTCATGATGGAAACTAGGAAAATTCGACAGCATATACATCAAATGGTATGGAAACAAAACTCACATACCGTTGACTACTATTAACTAATTTGAATCATCACAGACACGCTAAATCTGTATAGAAGAGTCCAACATTCATGCTGGAAGGGAGGCAATAAAGATTTTCATGGAGGCTTCATCGCCAACACGAGGCCTCAAACAAAGACGTATCTTAAAGACAGTCCAACGACACACATGAGATAATAATAACAGGAAAAGCACATGCACATGTATGTAATGATACCACTGACTGGAAAGTGACAAGAATAGAGCAGCGCACGACTCTTAGCAGAAAGTTCGGAAAGTTACCTCTCCTTTGTTTTGCAGGAATGGTTGACTGACACAAATGCAATTCCACAAAGTCTATAGGCAAGTGATGGGGCTCACCAATTTCAAAACCAATGAAGTATTCATTCAAATTAAAAGCTTCAAAAAGTTTAGGTATTAACTGAAATATCTTTTCAACTCATTCATAAACAGGATGGTATAGTGGTGCAATCACTGAGACCAAGGTATGAATAAGTTATTCTTGCAATGCACTAAAGCCTTAAAGAAACAAACCATTACTGAAGAATAGCAAAAAAACGTCCATACAGCTGGATATAACATATGATGCTATAGACATTTTTTCATTAATTAATCTAATTTCTCTTTCTTTTTTCCAATTCAGATCCATTTCATGAACTTGCAAGTAAATGTAATTCTATTAAAAAAATTGTTATGGGTACAATTCAATGTGCTGTTGTTCTTTTTGTACTGTAAAAAGTGGGCTTTAAGATTTAAGAAGGAGGTTTCATAACGTATCAGTAGAAAAGTCCCAAGGAAAAGGGAGGAGAGACTTTTGAAAATGTTTCTGAAAGATTGGCAAGGTACGAATAGAGCCTTTAAAAAATCCAGTTGGTATTTACACATCACTTGGTAAACCTGTAGACAAAGGCTCTTAATACAGTTGAGTGTCATGTGCTCTTCAAATGAGGGAGAGAACCCTTCCATGGGCAAAATTTCACAGATGATTT